ACAAGGACGTACACTCTCATGACTCCTATTCAGCATTATATTGGGAGTCATACTGAGAGCAATCAAGCAAGAGAAATAAAAGCTATCCAAATAGAAAGAGAGGACATAAAAGTATCTCTGTTTGTGGACAATAGGATTTTTATACTAGAAAACCCCACAGTCTGTGCCAAAAGACTACTATATCTGATGAACTTCAGAAGTTTCAGTATGCAAAATCAATGTACAAAAATTAATAGTATGTTTATACACCAATAATGTCCGAGCTGAGATCTAAATCAAAGAGGCAATGTCATTCACAATAAACACACACACACACACACACACACACACACACACACACACGTTAGGGATATAGCTACCCAGGGTGGTGAGATGTCATTGAGAATTAAAAAGCATTGCTGAAAGAGGTAAAAGATGACACAAATGGTTAAACATTCTATGCTCATGAATAGGAAGAATCAATATTGATAAAATGGCTATCCTGCCCAAAGCAATTTATAGTTTCAATACCATTCCTATCAAATTACCAAGGACACTCATCATAGAATTAGGAAAAACTATTCTAAAGTACATATGGAACCAAATAAGAGCTCAGATAGCCAACGCAATCCTAAGCAAAAAGAACAAAGGTGGAAGAATCATACTACCTGACTTCAAACTATACCACAAGACTACAGTAACCAAAACAGCATGGCACTTACCATTACAAAAACAGACATAGGCCAGTGGAACAGAAGAAAGAACCCAGGAATAAAGCCATACACATAAACAGCCATATGATTTTCAACAAGTCAACAAAAACTACCAAAAAAGAATGGACTTCCTATTCAATAAATGGTGCAGAGATAACTGGCTAGTCATATGCAGAAAATGAAACTCGACCCCCTCCTTTCACCATATGTAAAAGTCAACTCAAGATGGATTATAAACTGAAATGTAAAACCTAAAACTATAAAAACTCTAGAAGATAACCTAGGAAATACGACTCTGAATATAGGTCCTGGCAAAGATTTCATGGTGAAGATGCCAAAAGCTATTTCAACAAAAACAAAAATTGCCAAGGGGGACTTAATTAAATAAAAGAGCTTCTGCAAAGCAGAAAACAGACAACTCTCAAAATCCTCAGAAAGGAAGAAAAGATCTGTAAACTATGCATCCATCAGAGGTCTAATATTCACAATCTATAAGGAACTTAAATAAGCAAGTAAAAAACAAACCCATTAAAAAGTGAACAACGGACATGAACAGACAGCTCTCAAGACATGTATGTGGCCAACAAACGTAAGAAAAAATGATCAACATCACTAATAATTAGAGAAATGGAAATCAAAACCACAGTGAGATACTACCTTATACCAGTGGAACGGCTATTAAAAATTCAAAAATAACAGATGCTGGTGACGTTGCAGAGAAAAGAGAACATTTAAAGACTGCTAATGAGAATGCAAATGAGTTCAGCCAATGGAGAAAGCATTTTGAAGATTTCTCAAAGAACTTAGAACTACCATTTGACCCAGCAATTTCAATAGTAGGCATATACCCAAAGGAATACAAGTCACTTTACTATTAAGACATATACATGTGCATATTCATTGCGGCACTACTCACAATAGCAATAGCAGGGAATCAACCTAGATGCCCATGAATCATAGACTGGATAAAGAAAATGTGCTACATATACACCATGGAATGCTATGCAAACATAAAAACAACAAAACCGTGCATTCTGCAGCAACGTGGATGGAGCTGGAGGCCATTATCCTAAGAGAATTAAAAACAGGAACAGAAAACCAAATATAGCACGCTCTCACTTATAAGTGTAAACTAAACACTGAGTACATATAGATATATAAAAGAAAAAATAGACACAAGGGCCTCCTTGAAGGTTGGGGGCCTGAGGAGGGTACGCACTGAAAAACTACCTTTTGCATACTATTCTCGTCACCTGAATGATGAAATAATCTGTACAACAAACCACCACAACCTGTAATTTACCCATGTAACAAACCTGCAGATGCCCCTGCAAACCAAAAATAAGTGCTGGAAAGAAAAATATAATGCATATTCTAATTCAGTAGGGCTGGGATAAGGCCAGGGATTGCACATGTCTAACAACCTGGAGTGATGCCAGTGCTGTGGCCCACTGGACCTCACATTGACTGATAGGCAGGTTCTGTGATGTATTTTCGTCTTTTTCTCTTGAATCAAATAAAAAGACAAATAAGTGAATAAAATAAACAGATAACAAGACATAATCCCTGCCTCTGTCTTATGATTCAGGAGGGGACATAGAGCAGTAGATTAGGGATAAGAAAGTGGATATATGAAACATATGGAGTAATTCCAAGATGTGAAACTCTTAACAGATAGTTTCTATACACAACTACTAATGTAGAGAATGAAGTTACAAACAATAATTGGCCATAGAGTGAGTTACAGAGAATGTTTAGAGAGCAGTAACATTTTTATAATGCAGATGTCATATGTCAAGGCAGTTTGTTACACATAAGTCTCTTCAGCCATGCTGGAAATTAGGAATACCCATTCTATGAAGATGCTATCACTGTCAAAACCTAAAATATATGATAGTGAAATTTTAAAAGCAATAGATTATTGTTAAAATGTAATGAAAGAAGTTTTCATAAAGAAAGCTTGTGAAAAGGAGTATATGAGCCTCAAAAAGATAATGAAATTATTTTTAAAATCCTATTCATCAACATAAAAAATGTTCATAGTTCATTTGTTATAGTGTTTAATGACTACTCAGTATTCATCTTGTAACATAGCAAACCAATGGTCCAAGCTTGTTCATTAATAGTAACCAAGAGGGGAAGAGAGAAATTCAGAACGTTGAAGTCGATCTACAACTAGAGATTTAAAACAACACTAGAGCATTTAGATGGTTCCCAGCAGACATCTATCAGCTAGCTGGCCATCTTCTGCCATAAATCTTCTGATTAAAACAAAAATAAATGTTTCCACTGAGACATCAAACCATTAGGAAATCTTAACCTCAGCTTCCTAGTTGGCCTTAAGGCTTCTGAATTCTTCATCACAAAATACGTAAGGAATGAATTACAAGTGTCCTTTCCTTGAAATCTGTAGAATAATGTGGTTATTTCTTATCTAGGCTTCCATTTCAAAACAAGGGCTTTTATTTGCAGAAATAATAAGGAAAAGTATTAGATTATCTTGTAAAATTATACCAGAGTCACTCTGACTAGTCCCGTTGACAATTAATGAGAGATAGAAAGTGAAATGTCAAACAAAAGCACAGAACACTAGATACAAAAGAACTCCCAGTAGCACAAAGGAGAGATGAAGAAGGGGCTTTTCCACAGGGTATTCTAGAGGTGTACTAAAATTGCACAAATGTAAACAACATTTTATTTGTCTGCTCGTATATTTTAATCATTGAGTTTAACCACATCTTATGTATGGAATAAATGCACTCTTAAACTAGTTAATGAAGTGTTAATAGGTGAAACAGTCATCCTCTTCCACTAGGGGAAAAAACAAAACAATTCATTAAAGCTTATATAAACTTACTTAATAATTTGACATGCAGCTTCAGTTCTTTTCCCTGAACATTTCCTGGTAACGTTATCAATCATAAGTTAAGTGCCTTAAAAGACAGGCAGTTAGAGGGAAGAAGTAAATAATTACATAAAGAACTAAATATTCAAAATATTGAATAATTACTCTTCAATTAATTAACAGTAAAGTAAAAGTATCAAGTCCCCATGGAGTTAAAATTCATATTCTTATTAGCTAAGCAAACTTGTTATAAACATTGCTGAAGACAATTTGTTAATCAATATAAAGCAAATAAATAATGAAGTGTATAATCCATTAATAGAAAACACAGAGATGCTATAAAATAAGAAAATCTGCCACAATTATAAGAAAAAAGGAAAAATATAATGCAAGATAGAACAGTTAAGCAGAGATTACCATTATGTGTACGGCACATAAAAAGCAAACATGTAAACAAAGCAATATTTTTCCTATTATCTGGCAAAACTTCCAATTAATTTAATCAATAGTTGCACATATTAAAGGATTATAAATAAATATTAAATATTATTTGTAACAAAATTATATTTTAGTGAAGATAGGATAAATGGGTCCTTTCTTTCTTTGCAGATGGAAACGTAAATTGGTAAAAACGTTTTGGAAATAAATAGGGTTTATTAAAAATAAGATTTTTGATCTATTTTCTTCAAAATTATCAGATACTTTGAACTAGTAATTTCTCTACTGTACACTCTTTTAAATATCCCATATTAGAGAAGAGGTTTTAAGGTAAGACGTACTATGAAACTATTTCACTATTTTTTTAAATTATAATGTCTACTTATGTATGCACTATGATTGCAATGATTTTTAACTTATTCATATGAAAGTATTGGAAAAATGTGCAAATGTAGGAATTTTCAACTTCTCTGATTAGTTATGTGATTTTATAGAGTAACTAGAAATAGTGTCTATTACCTGAATAATGGGGAAAATATGTTTTAAAGTAATAAGAAAATCACCAACAATAGTGATAGAGACTAAATTTCTGACTCATTTGAAATTTGTGCTGATGTGTATATGAGTATATGTGCACACATACAGTCATGAACGTGGTGCAAATATAGACCAACAGACCCAAAGAACTGTCAAGGGTTATTCAGAAAACAATAAATGAGAAAGAAAAAGAGAATAGAATTCCCTATTACAAAGTCTGATTTAAGTAATCTGTTTCCAAAATTCTAACTTTTCCTAGTCTCTAGTATGCAGATTCTGGAAAGACAAAAGCTTGACTCAAATGTCAAATTATTTTAAAACTCCACATTCTTTCGAAGGAAATGGCTAACAAACCTGGACTCTTACTACAAATTCAGGAACTATCTTTTGCTAGTTGTATACGTGGTTTTTGTGTCAAACAAATATAACCTTCAATCCATCTGGACCATATTTAAAAGTGATTATTGAAAGTGGAAAAGACTACTCACTTCAACTACTGTCACCATTGCAGCCTGTATTTCCCACGAATCCAGCTAAATCTTCAAAAAAGAAACAAAAAGAAATTCTATATTCAACTCATGTAAACAAATTTTAATATAGTGAAAAAATATATATATACTTGAACCTCAGAACATTATTATTTTTTATACAATTTAGATGAAAATCACATGCAACTTGAGGTATCTGAGACCTGTAGTGATTTTTGCTTTAGAAAACCATTGTCTCCTATAAGTAGTGTACTATAATTTGAAAAAATTATCACTGACAGGCAAGAGAAAGAAATAAAGAGTATTTGAATAGGAAGAGAGGAAGTCAAACCATCTTTGTTTGCACGTAACATGATCCTATATCTAGAAAACTCCATCATCTCAGCCCAAAAGTTACTTAATCTGATAAGCAACTTCAGCAAAGTCTCATAATACAAAATCAATGTGCAAAAATCACTAGCATTCCTGTACACCAACAACAGGCAGATGGCCAAATCATGAAAGAACTTCCATTCACAACTGCCACAAAAAGAACAAAATAAATACTTAGAAATACAACTAACAAGGGAAGTGAAGGACCTCTTCAAGAACTACAAAGCACTGCTCAAAGAAATCAGAGATGACACAAATGGAAACATTCCATGCTCATGAATAGAACGAATCAATATCATGAAAATGGCCATACCGCCTAAAGCAATTTATAGATTCAATGCTGTTTTCATTAAGCTGCCATTGACATTCCTCACAAAATTAGAAAAGAAGAATTTTAAAATTCATGTGGAACCAAAACAACAGAGCCCAAATAGCCAAGGCAATCCTAAGCCAAAAAAAAAAAAAAAACTGGAGACATCATGCTACCCAATGTCAAACTATACTACACAGCTAAAGCAAACAAAACGGCATGGTACTGGTACAAGAACAGACACATAGATCAATGAAACATAATAGAGAACCCAGAAATAAGACTGCACACCTACAGCTATCTGATCTTTTACAAACCTGACAAAAACAAGCAATGGGGAAAGATTTTCCTATTTAATAAATAATGCTGGGAGAACTGGCTAGCCACATGCAAAAAACTGAAACTGGACCCCTTCCTTACATCACATACAAAAAACAACTCAAGATGGATTAAAGATTTGACTATAAACCCAAAACTATAAAAACCCAAGGAGAATACCTAGGCAATACCATTCAGGACATAGGCACAGGCCAAGATTTCATAACAAGGATGCCAAAAGCAATTGCAACAAAAGCAAAAATTAACAAATGGGATCTAATTAAACTAAAGAGCTTCTGCACAGCAAAAGAAATTATCCACAGAGTAAACAGACAACCTACAGAATGAGAGAAAATTTTTTCAATCTATCCATCTGAGAAAAGCCTAATATCTGGCATCTATAAGGAACATAAGCAAATTTAAAAGCAAAAAAAAAAAAAAAAAATCCCTTTAAAAAGTATGCAAAGGACATGAACAGACACTTTTCAAAAGAAGTATACTTGTGGCCAAAACAAATATGACAAGAAGCTCAACATCACTGATCATTAGAGAAATGCAAATCAAAACCACAGTGAGATATCGTCTCACACTAATCAGAATGGTTATAATTAAAAAGTCGAAAAACAATAAATGTTCATGAGGTTATGGAGAAAAAGAAATGCTTATACACTGTTGGTGGGAGTGTAAATTAGTTCAACCATTGTGGAACAGTGTGGCAATTCCCCAAATACCTAAAGGCAGAAATGCCATTTGACCTAGCAATCTCATTACTGGATATATACCCAAAGGAATATAAATTATTTTATTATAAAGTAAATTATTCTATTATAAAGATACATACATACATATGTTCATTGCAGAACTATTCACAATAGCAATGACACAGAATCAATCTAAATGTCCATCAACAATAGACTGGATAAAGAAAATTGGTACATATACGCCATGGAATACTATGCAGCCATAAAAAGGAACGAGATCATGCCATTTGCAGGAACATAGTTGTTGCTGGAGACCATTATTCTTTGAAAACTAATGCAGAATAGAAAACTGTTCTCATTTATAAGTGGCAGCTAAAGGATGAGAACACATGGACACATAGTGGCAAACAAGACACACCAGGGCCTATCTGAGGGTGGGGGTTGGGAAGAGGGAGAACATCAGGAAGAATAACTAATGGATGCTGAGCTTAATACATAGGTGATGGGATGATCTGTGCAGCAAACCACCATGGCACACATTTACCTATGTAACAAACACGTCCTGCACATGTACTCCAGAACTTAAAAGTAGGAAATTATAAAAGATTATGATTGAGGTTTAACAAAAATAATCATATTCCAAAATCAAATCGATATGAAGAAATGACTCTCCCTGTTAAAAGCAAACTAGAGTATGATTTTATTCAGAAACCAAAAATTATATAACTAATACAGTAGTAGTACATAACTAATATAAATCAGTTCTACTATAATTTGCTATTAATCCAGCAGAACAGCAATCAACATTTTATTTTCCTTTGTGCTTCATATTTCTGGAAAAGATATGCACAAAGGCAGCAATCTGAATTAATAGAGCCTATTAATTAATATATAATGTTTTTCAATTTGTAAATGTCTAATCTAAAAATGTTATTTCAAGCTGGGCACAGTGGCTCATGCCTGTAATCTCAGCAGTTTGGGAGGCCAACGCAGGAGGATCACCTGAGGCCAGGAGTTTGAGACCAGCCTGGCCAACATAATGAAATCCCATCTCAACTAAAAATACAAAAATTAGTCATGCATGGTGGTGGGTGCCTGTAATCCCAGCTACTGCAAAGGCTGGGGCAGGATAATTGCTTGAACCTAGGAGATGGAGGTCGAAGTGAGCCAAGATTCAGCCACTGCACTACAGCCTGGGCAATAAGAGCAAAACTGCCTCAAAAAATAATAAAAAATAAAATCCTGTTTCAAATGACCTTATTACTTTAACATAATTATTAAATAATATATTTCTCAGTTTCTAAAATATGCATTTCCATTTATCACTTTGTGCCAGTCATTGTCAATTAAAGCAATTTCTGAAAATAGTTTTTCTTTCCATATTATTCACCAGAAGTTAGCTGTGAGGAACATGGTACTAGACCAAGGAGGGTGGAGAGTAAGGGCTGGGAAAGGAATGATTATCACCTTATCTAAGTTTACCTCAACCATAAAGTTTCCTTTCTTAAAATGAGATCTTTATAATTGATATGATGGAGGTGAGAAACAATTAATTATTAACACAGCTTTTCTTATTATAGTTTATTTTTGAGTCAAAGTCCAAATTCTAAAAGGAAACAGTCCATATACTTTCTGTAAAGATTATATAGTTTTATAGCTGAAATGGGAAAGGTATAAAGCTTCAAGATCAAAATATCTGTTTAGTCCAAGGAAAAGCGTCCATTATTTATGTGGCTGAATGATTATAATATTTTCTTTTGATTTTGAAAAGCATAATAAATACTTTCTAACAACTGATTGACATCAGAACAAATCAGTAGGTGTGCTCTAGTTCAAAGTCTCTTATCTATTAATTTCTGTGAAATGAAACAGTGTTCAAACTGAGAAGAAAATATTGGTATGATTCCTCTTCCTGCAAAAAACCGTAATCAGTACAAAAATTCTCTGATTTCCCACATCCATTCAGCTCCCCTCCAGAAGAACAGAAATCAACATTTTATTTTCCTTTCTGTTTCACATTTCTGGCAAAGATGTGTACAAAGACAGCAATCTAAATTAATAAAGCCTACTAACCAACACATGGATTTTTTTCTATATGTCACTTTAATTCCTGGTTTTCCACTCCTCATATTTTTAAAATTATAGATGTCTTTAACATATTTAAATTATGTTTCGCCTTATATTTCTAATATCCCTTTATTATTCATTTTATTTCCTGTCCATAGTCTTTTTTCAATTATAAAAATCATCTGACCTGAATTTATTTCAGTTTTTAATTGGCTCTTCAGGATATATTTGTTGTTTGTCCTTTTGTCAATTTCTTCTGCCATCTTTTTCAAATTTACTGTATTTTCTTCCTCTACTATAGAGAAAACACCAGATCTCTTGGCCATCCAATATTCTTCATAATCTCTACTTGCATTCTATCTCCCTTACTCTTACATAAATTCTTAGGCATTCTTTTTTTATTATTATAACTTTTATTTTAGGCTCAGCCATACATGTGCAGGTTTGTTATATAGTAAACTGCTTGTCACAGGGGATTGGCGTGCAGATTATTTCATCACCCAAGAACAAACATATTACCCAATAGGTGTTCTTCTGATCCTCTCCCTCTTCCAAAACTCCACCCTCAAGTAGGCCTTGGTGCCTGTTTTTCCCCTTTGTGTCCATGTGTTCTTGTTTAGCTCTCACTTATAAGTGAGAACATGCGGTATTTGATTTCCTGTTCCTGTGTTTTTTTGTTGGTTTTGTGGGGTTTTTTGTTTTGTTTTGTTTTTTTGAGATGGTGTTTTACTCTTGTTGCCCAGGCTGGAGTGCAATGGTGCCATCTCAGCTCACCGCAACGTCCGTGTCCTGGGTTCAAGCAATTCTCCTGTCTCAGCCTCCTGAGTAGCTGGGATTATAGGCATGTGCACCATGCTCTGCTAATTTTGTTTGTTTGTTTGTTTTTCTTAGTAGAGACAGGGTTTCTTCATGTTGGTCAGGCTAGTCTTGAACTCCCAACCTCAGGTGATCCACCCACCCAGAGTAACGGCCTCCAGTTCCACCCATGTTATTGCTAAGGATATGATCTTCTTTTTTTACGGCTATACAGCATTTCATGGTGTATATGTTCCATATTTTCTTTATTCAGTTTACCATTGATGGGCATTTAAGTTGATTTCAGGTCTGATACTGTGAATGGTGCTGCAATGAATATGCACGTGCATGTGTCTCTATGGTACAGTGATTTATATTCTTTTGGATATATACTCAAAAATGGGATTGCTGGGTTGAATGCTAATTCTTTTTCAAGTTCTTTGAGAAATCATTACACTGCTTTCCACAATGGTTGAAATAAT